AAAAAATGTACCAATAAAATTAATATTAAAAAAAATCACTGCTTATTACTTATTATGAACAAACACTTGCGGTCCAATCAACACGCAGAAAAAAACAGCATAAATCAGAAAATTATGTCACAGCTTTTGACTTTTTAATGACATTACAAAAAAAGTCCTGTGGTGCAACTGATAAAAAAAAAACTTCATGATATTTATAACTTAATAATTCATGATATTTGCTATTAAACCCAGAAAATTATAATTAAAATATGATTGTTTATGTATTCAAGGTGCAAAGAAAATTTAATTTTGAAGGCTGCACCACATGACTTAATATTTGTCTTTATTTAGTCATTTAAACTTTTCTATATTTATATTTGCATCTCTATTATTTAGTGATTTTAAAGAGTTCTGATCTCAAATATAAAAAATTTAAAATTATTAAAAAAATTTAAATAATATATGATGTAAAAACATGTAAAATTACACTGAGATGTATTAAAGTGTTCTTTTTTGCACCACGTGTTATTGATATCTTTTTTATAATTTAATAATTTAAACTTCTTTAAAAAAACAAGTCTGATTGTATTATTAAGTGCTTTTAAAGAGCTCTGACCTCTGTGTACTCTGAGGTTTGGTAAGAACCCTAAAGTGTCGTACTGCATCAGTGCGCCGAGGCGATCCGCTGTACAGATCAGCTTCTGGACTTCAGCAGAGTAACTGTCAAAGTTCTGAGGTAGAACATCTCTACAATCACAAAACAAGCAGGGAATAAAAGAAAGACACAACATGCAAAAGCATACTAATTATCTCATTATTTATACATGACGCCCCAAAACACAAAAGACTCAGTTTGCATCTAAACTCACTTAATGTGAGGCTGAAGTCCAGGCTGTTCTTCATAATCCTCGATGAGGAAGGGAAGATTTTTTGCCCAGTGGTTTTTAAAGTTTCCAGGCAAATCCTGATCAACATTATACTCCGCAACAGGTACATCCAGATGAGAGTGTAGATAACGGGAGTATTCTGTCACATGAGAGACAAAAACAGAGGCATATTTCAACTCTAAATCATTATCTAAACACTTTATAATAACCTTTTATTAAAGGGGTGAAATCAATTTTATTTTTCATGTAATATAATTACTATACTACAAATATACACACACACTACTGTTCACATGTTTGGGGAATTTTTCTTTTTCCAAGTTAATGCTGTGCTTTTGGAACATCAAGGATCATCAACAAAAGGAGATATCACGGTTTCCATGAAAATCTGTTTTTAATACAGATAATAAATGTTTCTTGAGTGTCAAATCAGCATATTAGAATGATTTC